GAAGCTGCTGGGGCGTTCGCGGGGGTCCCGGGCGGGGGCTGCGCTTGGGCTTCGCTCTGCCAGGAACCTGAGTAAGGAACCTGAGTAAGCCCAAGCCTTGTCTGCCTTTTGCTTTTTTTGCTCCCTTCCCCTTTTTTTTTTTTAAATAACATTTTAAGTCATGTAGGTCAGAGGAAACATTCTCGTTATTTAAGAAAAAAAAATAATTCTGTATCTCTTTAAACGCAAACCTGGCTTGGGTTTATATGAATCTTGGCTCACTGATTTGTAGTTGAAATAAGGACTCAACAAGACCATATCAGAAACCTTGCTGAGCTGTTACTGTTGAACTTTTCGTGTGTCTGTCAGTCAAAGGTGGCAGTAGTTGGACATTTGCTTCACAACATGCTTGCTTGACTGAGGTGCTGATTAAGAGTCCTAGAAAAGTTTATTGTATGTCCTATAGAAATGACAGGTTGAGGTTGCCTCATCATCCCCCTTCTCACCTTTTTAGTGTCCTGCATAGGTCAAAAGTTAATCACAGTTGTCTTTGTCAAATGTGAGAAGCAGTTTTGCCAGGCCCAGGTGTCCTGCTCCTTGCTGCTTTGCTTTAAAGCAGTTCCCCAAGGTGGCTTTAAGCAGTGTTGTTACTGAAGGGGTGTGTGCTTCTCAGCCTGTTTTGAGGTAGCCTCTGAGTCTTGTTACTGTAACAACAGATTCAAAGTGGAGTTTTCTCACCTGCCATATGTTAAACAAAATGAGCATCTTGGTGATCTCTGAGTTTCGTCCCCGTGTTCCTTCATGCTGAAATTTGCTGATCTGTATAAAATAATTTATTGTGAAGAGGTGGCTCAGTTTGTTGGCTGTACTGCTGAGTCAAACTCACCGTGTTAGTATTCCTAGATAAAAAATAAGTTAAGTGACTTATCAGTTGCTACATGGATCTTGGAAGAGGCCAGGCTTAAATTTCACCAAAAAAAAAAAAAAAAGGCAACTTATACTGTTCTGTGAACAATGGCAGGTTTGTTAGATTTGTTCATTCCCCTTCTCTGTCTCCCTCCTTCTAAATAGGGCAAAAGTATTAGTCACTGACTGCTTTATTTCTTTCCAGGTGCTAGTGAACACTGCCTGCTGTTTTCTGATGCTGGTTGCTAAGGTAATCCAGTGTATGGTGTTTGGTCCTCTTCGTGTCAGCGAGAGGCAGGTGAGACAGCAGCACGGTGTCTTGAATGTTGTACACTAGGAAACTGTGAACCATGACACCTGGTGTGGTTTTTCTCCGTGGAATTGCTGAAAGTGTGCAAGAAAAGTGAATTTTAGAACAACATAAAGCTAACCATTTGGTCAGCTAGTATATCCACAGCCACAAGCTTCCAGTTTATTTCTAAGGGAACTTTTCCTGTTGTATTTTATAAACCCGTGGTCAGCTTGAACATCCTGCTTTGTTAAGGAACTTTGTCAGATTTCTTACCTCACTTCAGAACACTTACAGCATGTTCTCCTTTACCCAGGCTGACCTGACAGCATTTCTCCATTGCATTTTGTAGTTGTCAGCCCTGGCAGTCTGAGTTCCCTCTTCTTTGTGCCTTGACTGCTGGAGAAGTGCTGCCCACCCTCATGGGCTGAGTGGATGGTTTATCAGCCCTCAGATTTGGGAGGGAGTAGGGAGAAAACAGAAAAGTGAAACTTTCCAGAGAAAGGAGGTGAGCAGGGCTGAAAAGTGAGGCTGTTTAGTCCTGCTCTTGAGCTAAGTGAGAATATTTTTAAAGATTCAGCAAGGGACCCCTGAAAGCCCAGGGCTTTTAAAGACAGGATCCTGCAGAAGCTAAAAGCAGCAGCAGGAGTTTGAGTAGTATCTGTATATTTAAAAAAAAAAAGGCAAATGCATAAGTTGCTCTGTGTAAATGCAGCAGCAGTGGTTTGAAGTGTGGTCACATATTAAAAAAAAAAAAAAGTCTATAAATGCAGTTCTTTAGGAGGAATCAGGCCATGATGATTTCTGACATGCAGAACTGAGGCACATCAAGCCTCATTAATAACCGTGGATCTCTCAAAGCCTATTGTACTTGTAATTCACACCCCTTGGAGTCTCTGAGTGCTGTGTTAAAGCCAAAGCACTATCAGACTGCACTGAGTCAGATTTTCTTTCTAGCCCATGTTAACTATAAGGATGTGGAATTGTAACCAGAGATAGTTTCCAGGGTGTTCTCTACCCTGGTGAAAACTGGAGTGAAAAACAGTGGCAGTATGGATCCATTTGTGTTTGGACAGTGGGAGTATGCTTCAGTTCCCATGTAAAGGAAAGAGGGTTATTAATATTGGCGAACCCAAAACAGCAGCATCACGAAGGAAGTCTGGGCCTGTCAACTAAACTCCTGGTGATTTCATTGTGTTCTTTAACAAAACATTTTGTTTCGTAAATTTTTTTAATCCCTACCAAGCTGACTTGCTGTCTGCTGCTTGAGAGCATCATATTGTTCCTTTCATGCTGCATATGCGTGGGAAGAATTTCTTTTTCATTGCTCATGCATCTCATTCTCCACTGTAGGCATTGGGATTCTTAAGGACAGACTTTGTCATCTTTTCCTGATCATCTCTATTTTTTGGCAGGTTTTTGGAAGCAGGGTGCTAGGCGGTTTGGGCATCTTGAATAACTAACTGTGGCACTTGTAGCAAAGAGGACTTTGTGCTTGCAGCCTGGTAGCTGTGTTGCTTGGGTGTGGAGAGTCAAACTGAGATCAGACTGGGTTTGTGCTGAGCACTGTTTTAGAAGGATGGCAGGAAGCTGTGCTGTGTAGCACAGTTATGGTGCTGTGGTACAAAAGACTATCCAAATACTAAGGACTGCCAATATTTTTAATATTTTTTT